AAGGCGTTGCCAGTTGGCTCGAGTTCTTTTATTACACTATTTAATCATGTATGTGTACATGGCTTGTAGGGAGTGAGGGAGGGGTGTGTGTGCATGAGTGCAGTGCTCCCGGAGAGGGGAAGATAGTGGTGGCCCAGGGGGTCTTTAAAGGGCAGGGCAGGAGGATGCATGTGCACAGTCTCATCCCTGCTAACAGCAGGTTTTGGGCATCTGCAGGTTATCTGCAGATAGCACAGCCTCTGCCCTCAACTCGTCCTAAAGCCACCATTTCCATGAAAATAAAAGTGGGCTGTCGGATGGATGCCGGTCTACCATGTCTACTGTGTCTTCAGTCTTGCTGGCTTATTGAATAAGGTTTTTTCCTTTTCCTAAACACTTGTCAGCAAGTCACTGGGGCCCATTTGAGTGACAAGTGAAGAGGGCTGGGCTTACTAATAGTCACTCGTCCTAATAACATCCTCTGTTGTAAGGAGGCTGCTTGTTGGTCCCCAGCTGCTCAGCCCCAAAATAATCACACAGAAACTATACTATTTAAATCACTGCTTGGCCCATTAGCTCTAGCTTCTTATTGGCTAACTCTTATATCGTAATTTAACCCATTTCTAGTAATCTGTGCATCACCCACAAGGTCATGGTCTACCAACAAAGTTTCAGCACGTCTGTCTCTGGCAGCAACTCCATGGCTTCCCTCTGACTCTGCCTCCTTTCTCCCAGCATTCAGCTTAGTTTTCTCTGCCTACCTCTATTCCCTGCACAGGCCCAAGACAGTTTCTTTATTAACCAATGGTATGCACTGCATACAGAGAGGAATCCCACATCAATCCTCTGTCATTAAGACATGGCACGTCAGTCTCTCTCCCCAGCGGTGGTTGTAATGACAAACCTGTGAAGCACTCAGAGCCCTGTTTTTCAAGGGGAAAGCTCAGGAAAAGTGGGTTTAAGTTGTACTGCCATCTCACCTTGTTTGGAGAAAGCAGGCGTGGCCTATATTTACTTTTTTCTCTTATTTGGGTTTCTTCATTCCCAGCCCTGCTGCCTATACCTGGCGCAGAGTGAGCTCCAGTGTTCCAGCATGTGTCTTCACGATGTACTGGTTTGAATAGTTTGTCTGACTCCCAGGACTGCCCGTGCTGTGGGTATGGCTTTTATCATTTGTTTGAGTACTGATGAAGCTCTCGATCTCACCACATAGGAGCGGGGCCCCCGACTGGCTGACTTTCAACTTACTTGAAAGGAACAGATAAAAGGACGGTTTTTTCTTGCTAAGTACCTTATTATCTCAAACCATTGTATTCTTTTTCCTATGGATACATGATCTTCCCATAGAATTTGAACTTGTGTATCCTGCCTCTGCCTTCCAAGTACTAGGATTACAGCTAGGCCACACCCATCATACTACTGTTTAATTAGACACACACACATGCATGCATATGTGCACGTGTGTACAGGTGCTCACAGAATCCTGAAGCGGGAGTGGGATCTCCTAGAGCAGGAGTCAGAGGGGGTTGTGAGCTGCCTGATCAAGCCCTCGGAGCAAGCACACGTAATTTCTGAGTCACTTCTCCAGAGTTCTCCTATTACTTTTATAGTCTATGTAATTGAGAGGATCTTGTTATTTTGTAGTTTATTTATTTATGTGGAGATAGGATCCCTATGTAGCTCAGTCTGGCCTCAAACCCGTTTTCCTGTCTCAGCCTCCAGGGGGCTGGAGGTATAAACACACACATCACGTCTAGCTATAATTACGTATTTTGAAGTAAGATTTCATTTAACTTGACATTTAATACATTTTGCATTAGTTAGCAGTCCAATACTATAACAGATATCTGAGCTAAACCAACTTCAAAGAGAAAAATGTTTACAAAAAAAAAAAAAAGCTCAGCTTTAGAGGCTTCCCTCCAGTTAGGCAGCCCATTGTTCTGGGGGCTGAGGCACAGCAGCACAGCATGCTAGGAGTCTATGGCAGAGGAGGCTACTCACTCCATAGTGGCCAAGAGGCAGACAGGGTGGGGTGAGCAGCCCAAGTACCCTCTTCAAGCCCACGCTCCCTGATAATGCACTGGACTGGGGACTAAGCCTTCAACACCCAGACCTTCAAGGACACTACAGATCCCGGTATTATTAAAGATACAAACTATCAGGATTAGCCACTTTCCTAATCACTGTAATAAAGTACCCCAAAGAAGCAAGTAATGGGGGATGGGTTCCTGGTGGCTCTGGTTAAGGAGACAGCCTGCATCCTGGAAGAGAAGGCACTGAAGTAGAAGTGATTCCTGTCGGTGGTGGTGTGAGCCGGGGGGCAGCTGGCTAGCTAGAGACTGAGCCAGAAGCAGGCCTGGGGGATGATGCTAAAGGCTCAGCCAGAAGCAACTCACTTCCTGTAGCTACAGTCCCACCTTCTAAAGATTGCACAACCTTCCAAACAGCACCACTAGCCGGAGGCCAAGTGTTCACACACACTGGCCAGTGTTTCTATCCAAACTGTAACAACCTACTTAAAAATCACAGACACATCATTTTAGACCTTAAAAGTGAACGCTATCCACTTCACTTCAGTGAGTCTGGTGCACGTTCCTGCTAGACAGTTACTAGATGGAACCTTAGAGAACTCCCTTCTCTGTTGATGGAAGGAAGAAGACAAAAACCAAACTATTTAGTAAGAAAAGCCAGCTACAATGAGACCAAAGGTTAGCTGACAGGATGGACTGTCCCATCCCTGAAGACACTGTAATGGAATTACTATATCAAAATCTTAGCTTGCTACCTACCACAGGAATGAAACACAGCAGATATATTCCAAACAATTTGAAAATCCAATTTTGGTCAATTTTCAGTGCTAATCCTGCCAACTTTCTCATTTGTCTTCCTTCTAGAAATCACATAAACACTACACTTTTAGGAGTTTGACTTGTCCGCTTAAGAAAATGTGTACTAGGCTTTACTGTCCTCCTCTTGGGGTTGCATGCATCTCCCCCTTTTCTCTCCCTCTCTTTGTCGGCCGCTCGGGCCCCCTTTCCCCTTAACCTCCATAACCCCCTGAATAAATATTTCAATCTCAAAAAAAAAAAAAGAAAAAGAAAAAGACAATGTGTACTATAGTTGGATCCAGAATGCCCTCCGAAGACTTGTGTACAGAATGAAAGCTCGTCTCCCACCGGCTGGTGCTGCTCAGGAGTGCTGCCCATATCAGCAGCCCTACGCATAGGCCTGTTCACAACTGGATGAACTACTGGAATTTGATGGACTCTGTAGAAGCTGGAGGTTGCCCTCTGATATCAGACAGACCCCTGAAGGCTCCATTTTGTCCTCAGGCCCTTCCTGTCCCTGCCTCTGAGAGCTAAGAAGGGAGACACTTTGATCCACCACAAGTCTCCACCTTCATACTCACATCAGACCCAGAAGCAATGACCTGGGACAGCAATCCTCTCTGTAACAGAGTTGAGGGAAATGAAAGGGGGACATTCTTAACTACCAAGCCACCTCTCTAGCCCCTGAATTATTTATTTCATATCAGTAGCACCTTTCAATCCTCAGTGATTAAGAGCACTGGATGATTTTCCAGAGAACCCCGGGTTCAATTCCCAGTAACTACATGGCCACTCACTGTAATGGTCTGTCCTGTCCCTTTAAGAGACAAACCCCACCCCACTCCCTCTCCCCTCCATCGAGGCAACCAGATCTTTCCTTTCCTTTCTGTCTCTCTCCCTTCTTCCCACTTCTCCCCTTCCCTCTCCTCTCTCTCTTTCTGTCTCTCTGCCCTTCTTCCTTCTCCTCTCCCCCTTTCCCCTCCATAAAACACTAAATAAATATCCAACCTCACCCTTCATGGCATGCCTATCCATCTTTGTCTCTCACCTGCCACACAGCTCCCTGCCTGGGACCTGTTGCCTTCATGGCCCGCCCTGGTCTCATGCCCACTGCCGCCACTCGGGAACCTGCGGCATTTTATTTTTACCATAACATTTGGTCCTTGTAACTCGACCAGGCTCTCTCCACATTCCCTCCGGTCTGCAGATAGGCAGGCTGAGGACACGTGGAACCCTGGGCTCTAGAACCAGGTTTCTTTACGTCAGTTCTGCATTCTATCTGCCCGAACACTGACCTCTACACACATCAGCAGCTTTGGTGATGAGTTTTCCCCTTCCAGTCAACCAACCACAACCTTCATGGCTACGGTTGAGCCTTTCACTGACATTCATCTCTGGTTGCTCCCCATAGGTAAAAACCTGACCAGACTACCCAGGGTTGGTCCTCCTGAGCTAACATTGCACATGCTGTACAGTGTACTCAATTTGGGGCCCAGGAACCCTCATATTTTTTTTCTCCTTTCTTTTTCTTTTCTTTTGGACCACTTGTAAGTGGTCCCTGCCCTGAGAGACCACTCAGAGCCTCTAGCCTCTGGCTTCTAAGTAGCCTGGACCCAGAGCAAGTCAGTTAAGGACCATGCATTTTTATTTTACTCCCCCCCACCCCATGCATTTTTATGAGAGCTTGGTTTGTTCACTTAGCCACAAGGCACACCCTTGCTTTGTCTACTAGAGAACACATCTCTTATCAGGGTGGCTGCCATCATCCCACCTTTGAGAGAAGAGATTCAATTGGAGCAGCAAGTAATTCATATTCAAAGTCAAGAAGGCAGCCCCTTCTTCAGAATGCCTTTCCTTAGCCCAGGGCCACTTGTAATGAAGATACCTTAGCAATATGTTCTTTTCTGACAGTCCAAGCAGTTTACCTTACAATTCAAGTCATATGTTACTCAAAAGATAAACATTATCAGTCAATGGCCAGGATGGCTGAACACTTTGCGGCCATCACAACATTTCCAGTATTCATAGGCATTTAAAGAGACAGCCAAGGCTTTCTGGGATCCGCCTGCACACCTATTAATTTTCAGTGTAAGTAAAAGGTCCCAAGAGACAGTTCTTTCTATTTTGCCTTTCCCATCCTCTCTGATTCCACAATGAAAGATTTGAAAACATTCAAGAAATAATCAAGAAGAAAACATTATCAAGAATAACTTTTATTAAGAGATCTTTCAAAAATACTCCAGAATATAAGCTGAGGAAGAGGTGTTAGGGACTAAACAGCAAACCTGACAGCATATAGTGCTCTGACTTGCCCCACTAAATCCATCTTTTCTAGAATTCATAGCAAAAGATGACATTTGTTACAACTGGCTTATGAAAAGGGAGTGTTGTGTTTCTTAATATTGTTCATATCACAATACTGAGATGTCCTGGGTTGTCCCTGAAGAGAAGTACCAGCTGGCGGTCCCAACTGTACAACTGACGTACACTTGGAGGCCTTGTTACCATAGCAACACAATGCATTCTATCTCAGAAGGCTCTAGAGAAACACCACCTTATGGTTATTAAAATAGTGAAACAGTAGTTACTTCCTCTTGGCATAAGTGCATATTTGAAATTTCAAAGTAAATAATATATCTAATTATTTATATTTCAAAATAATGTTGAAAGGCTCTTACAATAAATTTTACATTTGCTGTCATTTTTATTGTTACGTACAGCTATGAAAACCAAGTCACACAGTCTTCAAGCTTTTCTTGCCGTTTTGGGGGAGCCACTGACAGCGAGGTCCATGAAGGCAAGCATGCTGTCCTCTCTACTTATTCCCAGTCCTGAGCATGCTCTTCTCTCTACTTCTTCCCACCCTCCACTCCTTCCCACTGTGAGGTTTTAAAATCAAAACACAGTCAAGAAGGTCTTACAATGACCCATTCCAAAAATAAGGTGGTTTCAGGAGGTGAGCGCATGTTCTTTGTCCTTCATTGTCGTCTGCCCACCGGCTTCAGGAGCTTCCTTACAGATCTGTTTTTTCTTCATAACGGCACCAACATGCGGCTCGCTGGCTGTCCAGGTATGGCTTGCAGCCCAAATGTATGACACTGTCAAACAAGAGCTCCACCGTTGTTTCACACGCTGCAGAGTCAAGACATGTCATCACTGTTGGGGAGGAGCCAAACACGCTCTGTTCTCACCTCTATATCTGGTGTAGCCACACCCTTCAGTGTAGTGGTACTGCATTTGTATTTTAATAAATAACTCTTGCCTGACGATCAGAGAGTAAAACAGTTACCCTGGTCAGCCTTACAGACCAGGCAGTGGTAACACACACCTCTAATCCCAATAGCCACACTACTTTGCCATAGAAACCAGGCGGTAGTGGTGTACACCTTTAATCCCAAAACTAGAGAGGAATATAAGACGACAGCTCTCAGTCCGTCTCATTCTGAGGATTCCTGGAGGCAGGATCACCATTTTCAGACTGAGGTACAGGTAAGAGCCAGTGGCTCTTCAAGTTTAACCTTAATATCTATCTCTGGGTTTTTATTAATGGTGCTACACCTCGGTGTGCAGTCAAACATGTAGAAGGTCAAAGTCATCCCAGTCCCTCACACCAGCAACACACCATACAGATTCCATTTCATACATATATATTATATTTCATATGTATATGAATGTATGCTCCATTTCAATTGTTCAGAACAATTTTTTATAGACAAATAATAACCTTTAGGAAACACAAATGGGGTCATCAGTGTTAGTTTTTGTTTTAGCTGAGAAATGTAACCCCAATAATAATGTCTGACAATGGCAGAGTTTACATGGCAAGGAAGGATCTGCTGCTGCTGCTGCTGGAGAGTGAGGCTGGGGCCTCTACCAGGCTAAGCACATGCTGTACCCTCGGTCTTAGAAAGAAGCTTTAAAGAGAAACCTCAGGCTGGAGACTGACTCTGGGCAAAGGCACTAGGACAGAACCATCCCCCATGGGCTGTGTCCTCTGACCTCCACATGTGTGCTGTGGTCTATGTGCATGCATGCACACACACACATGTGTTGTGGTCTATGTGCATGCACGCACACACACAGATTTAATAATTTTTTTTAAAAAAAGTAAATAAAAAAATCTCAGAAACCTCAAGGCATCACTATGACCAGCAGCTCCTAAGAACTGATCACATGTATTGAAGATGCTCATACTAAATGGTACTCATTCTCTTTCTTTGACCAATTCTAAACTTTGGCTTCAGGATAGGTGCTCATGGGAATCCAAAGTAGTTTCTCCTGGTATGTTTAAAATTTTTAAGACTATAATAAAGCTACCAACTTACCTTTACAATTCTAAGAAACCTCAGACATGCTACATTCACAGAGCTAAACCACTAAACAGCTTTTAGCAGCCCAAACAACCTTTTTCAGATATTGCCACGAAGGAAGAATCTTTGTGCTAAATCTTGTCCTTTTTAAAGTTTTCCAAAAGACTGTGCCATTCTGAGCACAAAACCAGAGAAATGCACACTGAACTGCAGGGCATACTGAGAGAAAAATCACTTGGCTCCACTTCTCTGTCTCTATGAGGGAAAAAACAAGGTTCATTTTGTTACTGTAGCCAAAAGCAGGCTAGTGGGTAAAAGGGCGAATTCAGGCTTCCTCTGCTGCAGAGACCTCTTCCCGGACAGGTTTTTCTGGGATTTCAGAATCAGATCTACAGCATTAGACAGTCTAAAGCAGGCAATAGCCAGGGCGTGAGCTCAAAGTCAGTCAATCAAGGCAGGCCTACTCGGGACAAGTTCCCTGAAAGACACAGGCATCCTGTGCAGCGCTTGTGGTTTTTTTTTTTTTTTACATGAATACATTATCTAGCACAATATTTTAAGGAAAATACATAAAAATGTTACTTTCCTTTCCTGCCTTTTTGTTTGTTTGTTTTTCAAGACAAGATTTCTCTATAGCTTTGAAGCCTGTCCTGGAACTTGTTCTGTAGATCAGGCTGGCCTCGAACTCACAGAGATCTGCCTGCCTCTGCCTCCCAAGTGCTGTGATTAAAGGCTGCACCACCACTGCCTGGCTTCTTCCCTGCCTTCCTCTTTGCCATTTCTGACTTTATTGCAGAGCACATTCTTTGGCTTTCCAGTGGAAAGTCTTACAAATGCTCCTACTTGAACAGACATGTCTATTTCCACAGACGCTTCTGCCCGGCTTAGGACAAGGCTGACTGGAGGCTGGGACTTCAGCGAGGCAGTCGTTGTGAGTCGTCCTCTGCTCTAGGGAGGATGGGTGCTTTACTAACGCACCCATATCCCTGTAAGTCACACCAACAAGCTTACTGGTTCACCACGCTAGACTGCGGTGGAATCATTTCCACTGCCCTGTTTTTGTTATATGCCATAGCTGGATAGTAAGCACTATTGCTGGGCTTTATAAGACATGATGAAATCGGGTTGGGAGCAGTCTGGAAGTTTCTTCCCTGACGGCTAACATAGGCAGGCCAGAACGTGATAGCTTGCTAGGGAAGTATTGTCAAAAACTGTTCAGCTTTAGTATAACTCTCTATGTTAATGCCACCAACATGCCATGTAAGATGTGCCCGCTGATGCACTATGGTATAGTTATTATGGGCAGAACCAAGTACTTTCTGATCAGATTTAAGGCCTGTCACACACAGGGAATTCATGTTCAGTATGCAAGCCAAGGCAAAACCTTGGGGGAAATTGCAGGCTGCACAGTGAAGAGCAATACTGTTTTGTTAAATAGACGTGATGTGCTTGTTAAATTGCCAGTTACATGCTCATTCTTGTCGATGCCCACAGAGTTTTGCTGCTGTGTGCTTTGTTCATGGAGGAAGGCTTATTTTTACAGTGAGTACTGCTTACTGTTGAGTCATAACTGGTCAAACGCTGAGGATACGTATCTACTGTCATGGCCTAGAGACCCACTCAGAAAAGAACTGCCCCTCCTTACCCTGGACGTTCTGAGAGAGCCCTAGAGTCTTCTGCACGTCCCGGCAGATCTTGGAGAGGCAGTACTGGAACTCCTCATCACAGTCGTTCTTGCTCTTCCCACAGGTCTCGTAGCACCTGTCGTGCTGGTTGCAGCACTTTGTCAGGGACGGGATGCCGATGTTCAGCTGTGAGAAGCGTTTCCATGGATTACTGTCAGTGAGATGCAAACCTCCCAGCCTGGTGATGCGTTCAAACGGACTTCACAGAAACAAATGACGACTGCAGCAGGCACCCCCCATTTCCAGGTCTCCTGTAAATCTTCCTGTGTTAGAGTCTCCCAGCTCTCCTGACCCATCCTTAGCCACGCGGCTGTTTCAGCCATACCACACTCCCCTCCATCTTGCAACGTGAGAGCTAACTGTCAGTAACTTTCACAACTTTTAACTGTCCAAAACACAATGCACAACTTGCTTGCTGACTTTGTTTCTGTGAGCACGTGTGTGAAGAACAGGGCCACAGGAGGGCAGCCAGAGGAGGGTGTGGGATGTCTTCCTCTATTGCTATCTGCCTCATACCCTGAGACAAAGTCTCTCACTGAACCTGGACCACTCTTTTGTCTACAGATTATCTAGAGAGCTCTCAGGATCTGCCTGTCTCCATCCTTCAACACTAGGGTCACAGGCCCACGTGGCTATGCCTGGCTTGTATGTTGGTGTGGGGGATTCGAACTCAAGTCCCCATCCTGTACAGACGCAGTCTCTTCCAGCGAGCCATCTCCCTAGCACCCCCACCCAAGGCACAGCTTTGAAAGTAACAAACACGCCCAAGAGCATTAAAAGACTTCTCCAGGGCCTAAACAACTATGATCTTAGAATATTTCAGAGTATTTTGTCTCCCTCTCCAAAGAAATGTACTTTCTGTGAAATGTTGCAGAAAATTCTTAACTGCCTATGATTCAAATGGTTTATTATTATTTTAAGCTTTAAGCATTTCTCCATTTGCCAGAGATAGCATTACCTTAAATTTATAATTTATCTTTAAGTTATTTCAATTAACTTACACAACCCTCACAGATAGGAGTTGTTTTCATAAACACACCCTCTACCTGTGGCTGCTGGCCTGTCTAGTCTCCCCAATAACAACTGTGTAATGCCTACACTGGCACCCCTATTAGCCCCAGTTTTATACAGAAGGAGTGACTGAGCTGCCCTTTCTCCCTTAGCGGTGGGACTTTGCACTTTACGTTTTCAAGTTCTATTTGTGATACTTATAAAATACTGTTTATGAGATATCTATACAAGGTAAAAATAAATCATTATTTTAGATCCATTTAGTATTGCTTAGTTGTTAAATGTGTTTTATCAGAACCTAATAAACACAATTATTACAGTAAGCAAAATTATTTGTGAGCTTGAAGACACACTTAAGTCTTGCATTACTAAAAATATTAAACTAACAGTCACAAAACTTATCAAAGAAAAAAAGTTATTTACATGAACACCGAACAGTGGAGAGCCACATCCATTTGGTGGGGACGGTTTAAATCCGTAACGTGGAAGAGGCTTCGATCCTATGTAAAATACAAAGGTTGTCGTATTTAGTTTAAAATATGGAAGAAATAAAATACATATTTGTAAGGTATACAATGTGCTGGACTAGCCTTGAAGATGTTCACTATTGAGTTGGACCAAACATAAGGAATGATGCATTTATTTTGATGAGTATTAGAAGGGCTGATCATGGAACTACTTTTAGTTCTTGTGTGAACAATGTAGAACATATGCAAACATGTGCACACATACACATATGTACAGCATTCATGAAGGTGGTTACCGTTTATAAGCATACCCTGTCGAAACATGCAATAGCTTATCCTGGACCACTGGAGAGTTCAAAGGTGCACCTGATACGACATCACATGTGTGAACAATCAGCACAGCTACAGCCCACTCTAAGAAAGACGAGGTTATGCAGTGATAGTTTCAGTATGCTATCAGGCCTTGTAGGACCATCCATTCTGACTCCATTAGAAATAGTCTGCAGACAACTATTTCATGAATGCAACTAATAAGAAAGTCTGTTTCTAACCACCCAGTTTATAGCATTTTGTTGTAGCAGCCCAAACAGAATAATATTCACTTTTCCCAGTGATACTACTAACCTGTATTTTCTAACACACCACATAATCAATCTGCCTTCTTCGTTTATTATGTGCTTCTTCATAAGGAAATGTAACCCTGAGGCAGGATGTTTTCTATTGTACATACCCATGCCTAGCATTGTTTCTGGCATGTAATTACATTCTCAATGGCTGCTTGTTGACAAATGGTCAAATCAATGAACATTGGGTAGATTCAGAAGATTAATCCCTATCGCAACTGTAACATTCATTAAAAATTCATAGGCACTACTGCTGTTTGCTTTTCAGCCTTTTAAGTTTCCTGGGCCTTCATTCACTGGCCTCCAAAAGTTGAACACATCTAGCTTGTTACATCTCTTTAAATGTAGCAGCCAGGGGCCATCAAGATAGCGTAGCTGGTAAAATATGATACCCAACTTAATTACCTGAGTTCAGTTCCCCCACAACCCACATGACAAAGAGAACACATTATCATGAGTGGTCCTCTTAACCCCCACATGCACACCATGGAAGGCATGCACCCATACACATATATCAAAGCATCATACACATACGAATAAATAAATATAAACTGTAAAATGTGGCACCCCAAACTTAATGCTATTTTATATGATGGACCCTTTTTGAACAATAGAACATTCATTTTAACACAGCTTACGGAAGCTGTATCTCAGGGCTAAACGATTAAATGGTAGCAGTACAAAGAAAGTACTTTCAAAAATTGAGCTTTAAAAATATCTACTCCTAGTCAGGCATGGTTGGTGCAAGCCTTTAATTTCAGCACTCTGGAGGCAGAAATTGGAGGATTTCTCTGAGTTGAAGGCCAGTCTGGTTTATGTAGTGAGTTCCAGTTCAGCCAGGGCTACATGGACCCTGTCTCAAAAAAGTCAAAGCATATATAAATATCTACGTCTAGAACTTCAGCACTTCTGAAATTAGTTTTTTAGACCAGTTACAGAATCTATTCTGTTGGCTTTACTTAGTAATCCCCCATTGTTCCATTCACGACTATTTTTTTAAATATTTATTTGTTAGCAAGGAAGTCAGTACCACGAGGGGTGCGTCCACCCACTGAGACGGTGGGACTGATCTAATGGGAGCTCACCAAGGCCAGCTGGACTGGGAGTGATGGAGCATGTGATCAAACTGGACCCTCTAAATGTGGCTGTCAATGAAGGCTGACTGAGAAGCCAAGGACAATGGCACTGGGTTTTGATTCTACTGCATGGACTGACTTTGTGAGAGCCTGGTTTGTTTGGATGCTCACCTGGATGGAGCGGGGAGGACCTTGGTCTTCCCACGGGGCATGGAACCCTGACTGCTCTTAGGACTAAAGGGAGGGGGAGGTGTGGAGAGGGAGGGAAAAGGGAGGCGGGGAGGAGGTGGGAATTTTTAATAAATAAATAAATTAATTAATTAATTAAAAAAAGATGTATTTGTTTAGTATGTATATAACATTCTGCCTGCATGTATGACTGCACGCCAGAAGAGGGCAGCAGATCTCATTCTAGATGGTTGTGAGCCACCAAGTGGTTGCTGGGAATTAAACTCAGGAACTCTGGAATAGCACTCACTCCTCTGAGCCATCTCTCCAGCCTCTCATCCATGATTGTTTAACGAACTTTATATCAACAGCTATTTGCCTAGTGCTGCCTGGAGTCATAAACCTGAGCCACAGATATTAATCTGGACTGAGGCAAGCAGCATCTTGCTATAGATGAATCCTCTCTAGCAGCAGGGATGATGTTATCAATCTGAACCCTTGGGCCACCTCTCAGCCAGTCATGACTTTGCTTAAGTCAAGTGTCTGCTAGTTTACTGTTCCCATGGGCCTATCATGAGAAACTACACATTTTTATCTATGGTTAAAAGCCCTGCATAGAAGGCAGATGATGCCTTGTTCATTTTCATTTCCTTCCTTTCTTTCTTCCTTCCTTCCCTCCCTCCCTCCCTCCCTCCCTCCCTCCCTCCCTCCCTTCTTTCTTTCTTTCTTTCTTTCTTTCTTTCTTTCTTCCTAGTACTGGGAATTGACTAAATTCAAGGCTTTGTAAATTGTGAATATGAGGCCAGTGTTCTAGCCTGGGCTATACCTCCAGCCCAGGCTATTTCCTGCTGTTAGTATCAGTAGCCACGGTAATTGTTTAAAGGAGGTTTATTTTGGCTTACACTTTGGGTCCAAAGTTCAGGAGTTGCAGCTAGCTATGGCCTTTTTGCCGGCTTCATCCTCAGAAAGGGCAGGGCATCATATGACTGGAGAGCAGAGGGGGAGAAACCAGCCAAACAGGCTTTTACTGCACGCTCAGTCACAAGACAACCCCATCGATCCGTGAAGTAGACGCAGACCGATCAATTCATGAGGGCAGAGTCCCTTGTATCTCAAAAAGGCTTCACCTCTTAGTCCTACACCTTTTAATGGAGATGAAATTTCAGTTTTAAATGGGACAAGTCGTACTCTAAAAAGTACGAAATTGGAAGGAAGGCAAAACTGGCAGTGTTCTTTGGAAACACACTCCAGTTCCTTAAGCACAGTAGAAAGCTTTCTCTTGAATGGGTTTTAACAGTGAGTGGTTTCAAACGCTTACAAACCTCCAAAGCAGCCATTCTCAAGCTGTGGGTCACAACCCCCGTGTGGCTGACAACCCCTTCCCAGGGGTCACATATCAGATATCCTGCATATCAGATACTTACATTATGATTAATAACAGCAGTAAAATTACAGTCATGAAATAGCAGCAAAGATAATTTTATGGTTGGGCTCATCACAACATGAGGAACTGTATTAAGGGGTCGCAGCATTAGGAAGGTTGGGAACCACTGGTGTAGAGATATATATTAGTCAATGAGCCCAAGTATTAATAAAAGCATTACAAATACACTACAGTGAGTTCAGAAAAAAAAGGCATTGGCTATACACAGCTTTTCCAGGTTAACAACTGTTTTAAATTCAGAAACACATCACGTAAAAACCTGTCAGGAAGCTGAAGGAAAACAGGCCCGGCTTAGCATTCAAAAATGACAGCTTATCCTATGTTCCTGTGTATTCAGAAGACATGTGCATTCCCCTTCCCACCTGCAAGTCTACAGACAGGAGCGCCATTCATGCCCAAACATTCCCACCCTCAGACAGCTGATACAAAGCAAAAGAAAATGAAGGTAATTGAAGGCTTCTAGTATCCTCTTAACTGTCTACCTGTTTTTATAACTAGGAATGTATGTCCTTTTCTGTTCATCCAGCAATGCTCTGTCTTTCCTTCTCTTTGCACCTTCTCTAGTTTTTCTCCATTCCCCACGGATAGAAATGCTTCCTGAGGGCTCGATGGCCGCCGTGGCAGTGACCTAACGTAGGCATGTAAGTATCCCACCAGTACATGGACGCACTTTCTTCTTAAAGGACAATTACTGCCGAGCAAGAGGACGATCAGAAGCAAATGAAGTGAGGAAAAAGTCCCAAGGAAACAGACGCAGAAGAGGGGGGCGGGGAGCAGAGACGGTAGAGAACTTCATGGCAAAGTGCCAAGGTGACAGCGTAGGGCTGCCCCTCAGAGGGAAACTGAGGACACTGAGTAGGAAAGACCCACACCTGCCGGATATGAGACACCGGAAGGAATACTGGGATAAATGCTGGGCACGACCCCTAATATCCGCACTGAAAGGGGCATGTGAGGTTAGTCTGGGGCCTCTTCAGAACAAATCTCACAGCCTGCCCAGCTCACCCCATCTAAAAACAGCATCTTTGTGTCTCTATCTGCCATGCACACCAGGGTTGGTTGTTTTCTTTCTGATGTTTCTGAACCAGGTTAGTAGAACAGTTTCTATGAGAACAGCTTTGTCCTCCGTTCCTAGAAGATATCTAACAGGTAATGAATGCCCAAGAAATCATTAGATGAGAAAAATGGGAAACACTCTACCAAAATGAAAAGCTTTTTTTCCAAGAGAATAGACAGACAAACCTACCACAAACAGAGGACAGCTCAGCGTTTTAAAGTTCTAAATTCACCTGTAAATTAAATTATTATTTCAAGATTTGAAAGATGGGTCCATAGGCAAAAGCTCTTCCCCTGCAAACCTGACGACCCGAGTTTGATCCCTAGATCCCACATGGAAAGGAGAGAGTCACTTCCCAAATGCTGTCCTCTGACCTCCACATGTACACCATGGCATGTTCATGCTCTCTCTCTCTCTCTCTCTCTCTCTCTCTCTCTCTCTCTCTATTGTACCTCCTCCTTCCTAATAAAACGACATGAACATATATTCAATACAAAGTTAAATTTAAAAATTAATTAGCCGGGCAGTGGTGGTGCATGCTTTTAATCCCAGCACTTGGGAGGCAGAGGCAAGTGGATTTCAGTGAGTTCAAGGCCAGGCTGGTGTACAAAGTGAGTTCCAGGACAGTCAATAATGTTATACAGAGAAACCCTGTCTTAATAAATAAATAAATAAACCAAAAAATTCTAAATTATTTAGAACAAAGTATACAGAAAGCTTCTTATTAAAAATAGACTTATTTTAATAACTTATAGTTATTAAATATATTTTAATAACTTATAGTTATTAAAAATAACTGCTGACAGGCTCAGCAGTTAAGTACACTTGCTTCTCTTGCAGGGGACCTAGATTTGATTCCTAGTACCAGAGAGAGGCTCACAACAGCCTGTAACTTCAGCTCCAGGGTCGAAGCCCTCTTCTGGTCTCTGCAGGCACTACATGCATGTGATGAACATACCCACACACAGCAAAACACTCACACACATAAGATAAAATAAAATAAAAAATACTGAGCCAAGTCAGGTGCCAAATTAAGTACTAATACTATTTAAAATATCGCTTTAAGTGGTGTTATGAGATGCTGGACATGAAAACTTAAACATTTCTACTGTTACTGGCTTTTACAAAGCAACAGAAGTTCATTAACAGAAGGACCACACTTAGCGTCAAACCACAACATCATGAGGTGCTGTGGCCACGGCTTCCCAGATTCCATAAGCAGACACAGAAAACTAAGAAAAGAAAGAAATAGAAGGAAGAACTAAACCCAAGTGTACACCTGCATGGGAAGGTCGTTCATTACTTGTCCCATTTGACATAACCTAGTGGCTCTCAACCTGTGGGTCATGACCCCCTGGAGGTCAAATGCACATTTACATTACAATTCATAACAGCAGCAAAATTATAGTTACGAAGTACCACAAAATAATTGTATGGTTGAGGGTCACCACAGCACGAGGAACTGAATAAAAGGGTCGCAGTATCAGGAAGGCTGAGAACCGCTGACCTAAGTCATAAACATCTTACTGTTTTCTCATCTCTCCATGCATCGAAAACCCGAGCGTTTACAGGAATTGAGAAACTTATCATGCTCTCTTCCTCCCTTTCACCCCACCCCACTCCCACATTATTTTTTTTCAAATTTGATATAAATACTCTCAAACAGACTCACTCATCTCGCCTGAGAGAAAACGAAGCAGGTGAGACCCTTAGAGATGGTCACTGGGTCACACAAAGATCCTACCACTGCAAAT